TGGACGGGGCTTGGAGCAACCTGGGCTGGTGGAAGGTGTCCCTGCCCATGGCAGGGGTGGGAGTGGGTGGACTTTAACGTCCTTTCCAACCCAACCCATTCCATGATTCCAGGATTAGCTCTCTCCCTTGACTCCTCGGACCAGGAGCTGGTGATCCAGGTGTTCAGAGCTGAGCTCCAGCCAGATGTGCACGGAGTGACTTCTCTGCTCACACTGTTTTCCCTTTGAATCCACTGAAAATCCCCTCAGGAAAACAACCACTTTCTCCCAGGCTTTTCCAGCCCCCGGACTGTGGCAAACCTCGCATATGGATTAAGTTTTCCAGGTGTAACTCTTACATAAATGAAACTATTCTCAGTTCTTCTGTTTCATTCCAGATGGGTTATTTTCCTCCATCTTTACCAACATGAATTAACATCTCCTTGCTCAGCAGTGGCACATTTTGCCAAATTTGGAGCTGTGCCCTTGTCTGCCCATTTTCAGGATATGCCTATTAGGGGAGGAAAAAAATCAGGTGTAACACGAGCCAGCAACCATTTAATTTGTGCTGCAAACACATCTGCTGCTCCCTGGAAACAATCTGCTGCCTCCCTGAGATATTTTAAACCCGTTCTTTCTGCAGCTTCCCCTGGTGTTTCATTCCTTTGTTGCACCCAAGGACGTCTTCCTTGCGTTTCCTTATTTAAGTGGGAGCAGACTTGAGTCATTCCTTATTTTTATGTTTCCTGTGAGTCCCATCGATTATTCAGCGAGTGGGGACAATAAATAGGGATTGATTTATAGTGGCCTGGCTTTAAATGGAACAGGAGGGAATAGAGAGGGTTGCTGGGATCCATATAGATGAGGTCCTTGCTTGGAGACAGAGCAGGGGGTGTGTGCAAGTTGGTGCAAGATGAGGAGAATATATATAGATATATATAGATAAATATATAAATATTTATAGATATTATTTAGACATATAGATGAAGACATAAATATTTATTATATATATATATTTTGATAAATATAGATATATATAAATATATATATAGATAAATATATAAAATAAAGGAGCTTTGGGATCAGGGAATGTGAGTTTAGGAAAGAAAGGGAAGACACCTGGAAGGGAAAGGGGGCTGATGCCCAGTGCCAAACACCTCAAAATCTCCCCATCTCAACATCTGTTAGGATGGAAAACCAGAGTTTATTTTGCTGGAGTTTGTTTAATTACAGAAATTTCACTGTGAAGTTGAGTGGGATTGAATGGGAAAAGGTTTGTTGCTTTTTCTAGCCAGGAATTTCAGGGCTGAAGCAAAAGGTGGGAATGGAAATTCCTGGGAGGATTGGGAAGTGGAACAGAAACAAGGTGTTTTCCCAGGGGTGTTTTCCCTGAGAGCTGGTGGTTCTGGGCTGGTTTGGAACTGGAACCTTTGGGTCCTTTTGGGGTGAATAAAGAAGGACACTCAAAGCAAGGGGACAGCCCTGGGATGTTGCCACTCCATGGGAGCCCAGGTTTGGTGCTGAGGGGGTTCAGTTCACGTAAATTAAATCAGTGACAGTGTAATTGCCATTGGGAAAACTAAAATATTAACTAAGAGCTGACCTTTAGATGTTTTTTTCCCCTGAACAGTCCAGTGGAACTCTGGGATCAATCCCCTTGCTTGCAGAGCAGCTGATAAATTACCTCTGTTTCTTTGGGGGGAAAAGCATGAAAACCCTGGAATCCTTTGAGGCCTGGATAAAACCTCCCCAAACCCTTCCTGAATGTCCTGCTCAGAAGATGCCCTGGGAGCTGCAGATTCCACTCCTGTTCAGCACCTCCAGCAGCTCTGCTAGAGGACAGCACCTGGATTTCACCTGGATTTGATCTCCCTTCGCTCCTCCACCACCCCAGAAGTCCTTGTGATTTAATTTCTCTCTCTGAGTTATGCTTGAGTGTTTTATTGGAGTATTTCCACTCGCTGGAGTTTATCATTTCATGCTTCCCCAGAGCCTGAGCAGGTGCCACCTAAATTCCCTGGCACCAGGCAAGAAGGTGGGGCTCCTGGGGAGTTTTTGCTGGTGGAGCATCAGTCACTCCTGGCCATTGTCAGCAGGATAAAGTGCTTCCAGGAGCACTTGGATTTAGCCTGGAGCAAGAGTTGGCAGCTCTATTTCAGTCAATTATCCAGAATTACATCATCTCCTACAATTACACAGTGATACATAAACCTGGTTTGTCGGAGATGTAACCAGCAAATATTTGAAATGTGGGCATGAGGAGGGATCCCAAATAAGTGTTTTGGGTAGTAATGGACAGTTTTACTGGGGTTTGTACTGAATTTCTCTAAAAATTGCCATCACCTTGTTCTTTAAGGTGTGATTTCCTGACAGAATATTCTGCTACCCTTGGAGCTTCACTTGTGTGACAGTTTCAAAGTAAGATCCCATAAATAATGGGAAGTAGAAGATGAAGGAAATGCAGGATGGATTTCAGAGATAAATCTGGGAGTGTTGTCCAAACTGTTCCAGATGAGGGCTGGGAGTTGCTGCTGCTTTGCCAGCCCAGGTTGGACCACAGCTCTCGTCCAAAATGAGATTTAACTGGGCTACAGGGAATTTTTGACTTGCTTTTGGTTCACTTGGAAGTGTCCAAGGCCAGGTTGGATGGGCCTTGGAGCAACCTGGGCTAGGGGAAGGTGTCCCTGCCCATGGAAGGGAGATGGAACAAGATGAGCTTTAAGGTTGCTCCCAACCCAAACCATTCCATGATTGTGGGATGATTTAATTTTATATAATGATTTAATTTGATATAATCCTCAGTGAGGCTGACAACCCTCCCATCCCACTGCACCCCAATCCCAGCACGTGGACCCGGATAACTGGGAGCTGGTGCCGGCTGGAGGTGGCTCTGGGATGAGTCCAAAGGGGATTTTGCTCAGCTCTTCTCTCCCCATTCCAGGTGTGGTGAAGGTGGATTATGGAGATGTGTCCGTCAGGAAGGCCCTGAGGGAAAGCCTCAAGTGCAAACCCTTCTCCTGGTACCTGGAGAACATCTACCCCGACTCCCAGATCCCGCGGCGCTACTACTCCCTGGGAGAGGTACGGGATGGGCACGGGGGTACGGGAAACTGGGAATGCAGGGAACCAGGGATACAGGGAACCAGGAGTGCAGGGAACCAGGGATACAGGGAACCAGGAGTGCAGGAAACAAGGGATGCAGGGAACCAGGAGTGCAGGAAAACAGGGATACAGCGAGCCAAGAGTGCAGGAAACAAGGAATGCAGGGAGCCAGGAGTGCAGGAAACAAGGAATGCAGGGAACAAGGAGTGCAGGAAACAAGGAATGCAGGGAATCAGGA